CTGTGGTGGGAAGTTCAGGATGAATGCCTGCAACGCCTGCAGATGCTGGCCGTTTGCTCCACGGAAGGTCTGGAAACGGCAGAGATCCGTGTGCGCATTGATCTTGGCCTGCTTCAATCCTCGCTGACCGCCTTACCGGATCCCGCTGTCCGACCTCACCGGAACTAGTTGACCGATCTCACCGAACCCCGCTGGCCGACTTCACCGAACCCCGCTGGCCGACTTCACCGAACCGCGCTGACCGACCTCACCGAACCCCGCTGACCAACCTCAACGAGTCCCGCTTGTGCCTCCAGACTCGCCAGAGTCGGCCCGCCCGCGAGATCGGTTTCTTCTTCCCGGAGTTCGACCAGTCCGGCTGGCTGGCGCAGCAGGAGCCGCAGCTGGAGCGGCGAGTGCGGTCTGCGTCGACCGCGCGCTCTCGACGTCACCGCGTGACGTCATCGGCGACGCTCGGCCGGATGACGTCACTGACAGCAGCTGTTGGCCGGGTGACGTCACCGACAGCAGCTGCCAGCGACGTTTGTGACGTGTAGCCGATCCGCGGCGCCGCAGCGCTGACGTGAGCCCGCGAAGCTCATTAGCTGAGGAGTGACGTCAGGCATCGGCTGCGATGTGACGTCACCCCGCCGGTGAACTCCGAGAAGCGTCTGCACCTGTAAGAGCGTTGCTTACGCTTTTCATAGTCAGTTAGTTCTGTTGTATGTGATATAATGCTAAGTCACCTTTAAAACACGTCTTTTCATAGCTCTGGCTTCGGTGGACGTGAAAGTGGCCTTGGCTGCTTTTGGAGCTCGCTGCAATGACACATCAGATTTTATGAATAAATGAAAGTGTGCACTGTGTGCACGATATGAACGCCTCGATCATATGCCATATGCTGCCATATGCTCGATCATATGCCATATGATCATATGCTGCCTCACGGAGGCGCAGTTCCTCTTCAACATAGCCGTACGACCTGAAGTAGTTGTCTTGCAACTCGGTGGCGTCAGCGCAGTCTGGTTTCTCGCTCGATCCGCGTGGGAGATTTGCCGATTGCGATACCACGCCAGCACGGGGAGGGACCGGGGCCAGGTCTTCGTGACCCGGCTTCGCAGCTGCACAGCTCCAACAGCGCCTGACGATGTGAGCTTCGGCAGCTCCGTAGGCTGGTCCGGCCCGATGTGTTCAGCCGGGCGCGTGGCATCGAAGGACTGGCGGACCGGTCTGTGTCGTGGCATCGAGGGTGGCCCGGCGGACTACCTGTGTCGTGGCATCGAGGGTGGCCCAGCGGACCGGTCTGTGTCGTGGCATCGAGGGTGGCCCGGCGGACTACCTGTGTCGTGGCATCGAGGGTGGCCCGGCGGACTACCTGTGTCGTGGCATCGAGGGTGGCCCAGCGGACCGGTCGGTCGGGCATCGAGGGTGGCCCGGCGGACTACCTGTGTCGTGGCATCGAGGGTGGCCCAGCGGACCGGTCTGTGTCATGCATCGAGGGTGGCCCGGCGGACTGCCTGTGTTGTGGCATCGAGGGTGGCCCAGCGGACTGTCTTGTCGCGGCATCGAGGGTGGACCGGCGGACTGCCTGTGTTGTGGCATCGAGGGTGGCCCGGCGGACTGTCTGTGCGGCATCGAGGGTGGACCGGCGGACTGCCTGTGTCGTGGCATCGAGGGTGGTGGACCGGCGGACTACTACCTGTGTCGTGGCATCGAGGGTGGCCCGGCGGACTACCTGTGTCGTGGCATCGAGGGTGGCCCGGGGACTGTCTGTGTCGTGGCATCGAGGGTGGCCCGGCGGACTGCCTGTGTCGTGGCATCGAGGGTGGCCGGCGGACTACCTGTGTCGTGGCATCGAGGGTGGACCGGCGGACTGCCCGTGTCGTGTTTGTAAGGATTGGCCCTGATCTGGACCGCCAGGGCGGTTGAAGGCATAGGACGCGCTGCCTGATGTCGGAGAGTGTTCTGTCATTGAAGCACGTCAAGCCATCAGCATCCAATCCGCTGCGAGCGGTGGTATGAGTCAACCAGAATGCGACCAATGTCTCTCTTCAGAAGCTGGTCTCAAAATCTTAAATCGAGAGGAATTTAGTTGTGAACAGTAATATTGCGTGCACTCAGGCAGATATTTCCTTCCCTAAAAGCATTCGCGTCCCTCGTGCAGTTTTGGTCAGAGTCGCTGATAACTAACTTAAATAAAAACTAATAAAATAATAAAAATTACCAAAATTCATGGAGTCATCCTGGCGTCTTAACCAGTGTGCCCGGGAAAACCCAAAGCTAGCCAGGTCTTCAGACGGTGCGTGCCACTAATAAGCGCTCGACACCACCCCAGGGAACTTTCCCGGGTAGGCTATTGGCAAGACATATCCTTAAGCAGTGAGACTTGGCCGAAGACACTTGGTCCAAAGTCCGAAGACATGTTCGGGCACACTTGATTCTCCTTCTGTGACGCATCGACACCATCTACAGAATGATAACATTCACCTCCGTTATCACCCTGCGTGTCACATTCGTACGTCGTACGGTACGTCGTGACTTTATCGACCTATGCTCCAGCGTGGTGCCTCCTCCGCGAAGCGTAAAACCACGGCCTCAGTTAAATGTATTATGGCCACCTAGCGGTAGATAGACGCAGGCTACGCTGTAACCACGCGCCGCTAGGGTCGGCAGATGATCGCCGCCCCAATGGTGATGAAGCGTGGCGACCCCTGACTAAAAGCATGGTGAAATGTGGTGTGGGATAAAAACTGATGACTTCAGAAAGCAAGGCACGTTCTTTTATTTCGTTTTACTCCAAATCTCAACACATTCCCCAAACACGAAATACAAAACAAAGGACTGTTTTACCCCGTTTCAAGCAGGGAATAGCGCCAAACACCACAGTAAACCTTACGTTTCAGTTTGACTTGTCTAACGAGACACTTTCCACTGTACCCTCTATAATGGCATTGGATATCAAAAGAAGATCAGTCGTTATTTATTGTTGACGTTTAGATAAGTGGTGCAATATTATGCTCCTGCATTTGCTATTCTGACATTTGCGGTACAATATGAATATATTTGTGTGAATTCATGCAGAGGTGATGAGGACCATTGACTACATGTGCTTAGGTCTACATGGACCACAGGACTACATGCTTAGGTCTGCACGCTTTGCGTAGTAAATCAAACACAAATCTAGCTCTTCGCCATGAGAGCTACGGTGCCGGGTCATCCCTCACATCCCAGCTGCAGCGACTACATCCCGCCACACGATCCACCCATGTCACATGGTCCTGCGGTAGCTCCACACAAAAATTGACATAATTGCACATACGGTCAGCATCATGCCTCGGGAGGCCCATTTTTCTTTGCTGGAGACTGCTTCTGAGAGCTGGTGGGCGCCGACTTCACCACAGATAGCTCGTGGCATTATGACGTCACAATATCGCCGTCTCCGGATTGCACAGGCACGCTTTATCCATGCATGTTCTCTGCTCTCACCTTGGAGTTCAGTCTTCTGTCACGTTCTCACGCTATGGCTTACGGGTAACTGTTACCTACGTTTGCCTTTTCACGGGAGTCCCGCGCATGAACGTCGCCGTCGTCTTGGTGCGCATCTTCGCCAGCAAGCGGCATCAGTTCGGCGAAGGTGCCCCTGACGCTGTCCAGGATGTGTAGTTCAGGCTGCTGCTGACCGCCTCCGTGCTGCCCAGCCACCAGAGGAATGCAGTGTTGATCGTCAGCACATCTGGATCGTGACGTAGTGGCGCGCGAACCAGCCGGCGAAGCCGCCGCCCGCCTCCTCCTGTCCCGGTGACGTCACCGCTGACGTCACTGGACCGGAGCCGCTGCCGGCGGCGGTCCCGGCGCCGCTTCATCGTGCGCGGTCGGCAGGGGCTGAACGGGACCTGAGCTGGAGCTGGAGCTGAACTGAGCTTGCACTGAGCTTGCACTGAGCTGAGCTGAGCTGGGTTGAGCTGTTAGAGCGCGTGGACCGATTTGAA